ATTATTATTATTATTATTATTATTATTATTATTATTATTATTATTATTATTATTATTATTATTATTATTATTATTATTATTATTATTATTATTATTATTATTATTATTATTATTATTATTATTATTATTATTATTATTATTATTATTATTATTATTATTATTATTATTATTATTATTATTATTATTATTATTATTATTATTATTATTATTATTATTATTATTATTATTATTATTATTATTATTATTATTATTATTATTATTATTATTATTATTATTATTATTATTATTATTATTATTATTATTATTATTATTATTATTATTATTGTGAGGATACTATCTTGAAGAAATAATTTTTTTATTTTTTATTTCATGGACAATGTTTTTTCAGACACTGCATCAGCTTTTCATTATAAATGCTGGAGCAGGATTTAAGGTTCTCTGGAAAGCAATAAGGGCTTTTCTCGACGCACGCACCTTGGCGAAGATTCGAGTAATTTAATTTAAGCATATTTATTTTAATGTTCTCTTTTCGTTTCTTACTCGTATATTAAGTACTGCTTCTTCTTTTTTCGTATTTTAGTTTCTTTATTAACGTACACGAACGAAAGGCGTTTTGATATGAATTTTGGCAGTAGGTATTGGGAAGTGACTACAAAAGCAGCCTAATTGAAGCTATTGAACCAAGGTAACACAATAACACTGTTTATATGATATTAGATATAAAATATAAAATAAAATTTTCGAATAACGAAAAAATTCGAATTAACCGTTTTGCAGTAACCTTCCGAGTTTCTTGGGTGGCGATTGTACGTGTAGTGAATCCGGTGGTTGCCTTTTTAGCGATAAAGGACCTTGGAATGATCCTGATATTAAACAAATGCTTCAGGTTTTTGATTCTTTAAAATTGTTTTTTTTTTTATTTTGCAATACACGATAACGTTTCGAGCATATCGAGCATACCTCAATACGTGCGCCTAATCTCTAAATTACGGAATTTCAATATTGATCGTATTTTGGATAGATTAAATGTTTTAATCCTTGCTTTTTTAATTAATTAAAGTCTACAAATATTTATTTATTTCAGGGAATGCTTTATGACGAGGAAGAGTCAGAAAACGGGGACAACAAAACGAGTGCCGCCTTCTCTAGTGACAATGTACGTGTTTTTATTCGAAAAAAACATACATATTAGTATCCATGTTTTTAATTACTTAATCCATAATTATTTGATTTTAAATACAGGAGAATAATGTTGGATATAAAGATGTGTACGATGTTGTAACTTCGTCGGCAGACGAGGCTGTATAGTGATGCACGCGGAACAAAATACGTCGATACTCGTTTGTTTAG